GGGAAAGAGGAAATTCTCCTTGTGGCTTTGGTTTCCCTGTATGTTGAAATGAATTTATGAAAGGGGAAGTAACTTTCTTGGGTGATTTTCTGATGAGTGATGACATAACATGCTTATAATACTATAGAAAAGAAATACGTTAGATGCTTACACTGCCTTTCACTGATTAGGTTTCCGCAAGATCTCTCTCAAAGTATGGGTCCCTTCTTGAAGCTTCTAATCAGACAGAAATCCCTACTGAAGTGAAAAATGAAAAAAAAAAAAACATGCCTTAGGATAGATTTTGTGAGAACTGACAAAAGACTTTATTGCTGGTGCACGTTCCTAAGCACTGTCAGTGAAATGCAGCACATTTTGGGAAGAAAAAGCACAAGAGTTCCAGAGATTGCACTGATATTGGAACATGGGGATTTGAATTAAGAAGTCATGATATTTCAAGTTGTATCTGATTTAAACACTTCTAGTGTCCAACAGGAAGAGACTTAACAGTTATCCTTGCTCGTAAGGGAATGTAGTTCTCACTGTATCTCTTGAGGTTTGGGAAAAGCTAGACTGTTATTCCCTATCATTAACTTTCCCAGTTCTGCACTGATGATAAAAAGTAGACTAACGCAAGACCATAAAGGAAGAGGTAGGTGATGGCACTTTGAATCAATTAAGATAAATTGTAGGAGAATAATTGTAGGAGAAGGTGTAGTATGCCTAAAGATTAGTTCCAGCAGTTGTTCTTCTGTGGTGTTGAGTCCACTCTAAGCATCGTGTCATGCTGAAGCCATGACTTGTAGTGGTCTCAACTGCTCTTAGTTCCCTGTGTAACAACTTAACCACAAGGCCAAATAGGATCAGTTGCTTATAGGCATGGCCACAGACAATCACAGGATCTGTTGAGTAGATTGTAGTCAGTTTGGTGTTAATGGATTCTTTTTAATAATGCTGTGGTATCTTACAGTCATTCAAAGTCTAAACAAGTGCCATTCAACTGGAAAAACTCCAGGCACCCATTTCTTCATGGGAGAAACTCTTGAAGGTCATGCTTCTCTCGGCAGCCAGGCAGGTGTCTGAAGTGCTTGTTTCCCTTTCTGTCAGAGTATTGCGTTACCAGAACTGATGGAAATGTGCTTCCTCTCCACACCGTGCACTTCAACAAAAAGTAAAAAGCCTTTTTCAGTGCTACAATTTTAATGGCAGTGACTTACAGGTACTGTTAATTTTTTTTTTAATATGGAATTTTACAGCTATAAACCCTGGAAAATGTTATCTCATCAAATATATATATGGGTCCATTTCATTTTCGTAGTGGAGATACTATAAATTAATATTCTTTATAATCTTTAGGAAGGAATTACCTCTCTGCATACCCCATAGAGAGCTGATTGTTTTTCCAGAAAATAGTAAATAGGATGTTAGAGGGCTTTTTTCCTTCTTTCAGACTTCATTCCATGATTTGTCAGATAATGGGCTAGGGGCAGTTTACACTTCTCACACTGGTTAGTCATATTACAGTGGTTTCTGCTAGGTTTCCCTGCATAAGAACATACGAATTTTGTGGATTAATAGTTTTTATCCAGAGCTGCTTCACATTAAGCTTTCACTTCCCATCTGCCATTCCATCTGTAACACTGAAACCTTTACTG